CTGAGGCAGGAGAATTGCTTAAAACAGGGAAGCAGAGGTTTTAGTGAGCTGAGATCATGCCACTGCACTCCAGCCTGGGTGACAGAGTAAGATTCCGTTTCAAAAAAAAAAAAAACACAACTTCTGTATGTGTGGAAAAGATTAGGAAACTCTATGGTAGATAGTTGCCTCTCGGGTTGTGTGAATTAAGTCAATGGCCAGATATGCTCCATCACTTACTAAATTCAAGATTAGTGGAGAAATATTCATGTTAATTTCTACCTTCTGGGAGAAAGAAACACATTAAGAAAATTAATTTGGCTGGACATGATGGCTTACACACTTTGAGAGGCTGAGGTGGGCAGATCAGTTGAGCTCAGGAGTTCAAGACCAGCTTGGGCAACATGGCAAAACCCTGCCTCTACCAAAAAAAATTTTTTTTAAAATTAACTGGGCATGGTGGTGCACCCCTGTAATCCCAGCTACTCAGGAAGCTGAGGTTGGAGAATTGCTTGAGCCAGGCTGTCAGGGCTGCAGTGAGCTGAGATTCCACCATAGCACTCCAGCCTGGGTGACAGAGCCAGACCCTGACTCAAAAAAACAGAAGAGTAATTTGAAAATTAATTTCCTTGCCCAATCAAAAAGTTTCTCAGTAGTGTTATATTTTGTTTTTGTTTGATCTTGGGGTTCAAACTAACAATAGGAACTCCTCACTGGTGGATGGACTAAATCCAAGGAGAAAAGATCTGCTGTAAAAAGCTCTGAAGTGAATGTAGACAGTAACCATTAAATACACGAAATTTCCTGCCTTTGTAGATGGTTAGTCTCTTGAAGTTTTAGTTTTATTAATATTATTAATAACTTATATTTCCATAATATACTTGTACTGTACAGAGATCTCCCACTTATATTAACTCATTTGATGTGAATAACAGCCCTATTAGATAGTGGAGAGCTATTATTATTCACATTTTAGTGATGGGGAGGTTCATACTAGAAGAGGTTAATAATCTTGGCTAAGATTACAAAGTTAACAGTATCTACTATTGAAAGTAGTTATCAGCAGTGATGGCCGTTTTCAGGCTCCAGTGAGATTGAGTTGGAATTGATAGCCAAATGTTTATGCATTTTCAAAGCAAATGTATATCCACATTTTCTCAAATTATCATTATATGATTTAAATAGCAGTTCAAATTACAGTTGTTTTTGATTGAAATTAACTCTTTTCTAACTACTATTTTGAATAGTAGTTATGTTTTGACTCCTTAGCCTTATTAACCAATTATTTTTATTCGATAGATGAATTAATCCAAATATAAAATACTCACTATTGAGTGTCTTCATGATTGAAACAATTAAAAAATATATTTAAATCATATACCATTTGTTTCTTTTCCTAAAGAGTTATTAACATGGAAAAAGATAAACACAGTCATTTCTACAACCAAAAAAGTGACTTCAGAATTGAGCATAGTATGCTAGAAGAATTGGAAAATAAACTGATTAACAGCAGGAAAACAGAAAGTAAGTTGAGTTTATGATGAACTAAAAACTGTTGAGCGATACTAAGTTGTAGTTTTACCCTGCGCTTTGTCTTTGTGCATTGACTGTGTTGTGTTCTCTATCAATAGCGTCAGTTCTCTATCTTTTAGTTGCTAAAATTTGTGTTACATTCTCTATGTTTTAATTGGTAAAATTTGTCTTTTAGGGACATGTGTTTATGCTTTTAGGTCACTATTTAGTCACACTAACTGGATTGTTTTCTGTTGTTTCTTTCAATTTAACAAGAAAGAGGATTTGGGAGTTGTTTTTGGTTGACAAACCAGCAAATGCTATTAAAATTTCTTAAAAGCATAGTGATTTTTCTGGGCTATCTGATGTTAGCTCATGACCCTGGAATTTTTGACTGAGCCCTGGACTCAGTAAGCATCAACAGATTCAAAACTATAATTAGTAGTTGTATGAAGTGATCAAGTCAGATAATTGCGTAAACTTGAGTTTCCTTGTCTACATTCTAAAACCTGTCATTTCTACCTCAGGAGAGCCGTCCTGCATCTGATGTGATAATATATTAAAAAGTACCTTATAGATAGATTGTACATGACTATGTTCTGTTGTTTGTTAGGAATATTAATCATTGTCAATAGTGTACTAAATGTTACCCTTAAATAATTCTGAAAATAACTGTTTCATTGTAGCATTAGATGCTGTATGTTGTAAAATCTTTATAGTAAAAAAGCTGCTTAACATTTCTTAAAGGAAAAATAACGGTTATCAAATAACTAAGATTTATAAATATTAAGATTTACTTTGTAGAGATCAGACTGCTTATGGTACTCCCTTATCACCAATTAAAATAAACTCCTAGTGAATTTTTTCTTTCAGAATATAAGATTGCACAATTTTTTAAAAGAAGAGATTACACTACTTTAAAAAGTTATCCCTTGTCAAGCAGTGACAGGAATCATTCTCCTTCTTTTGTTGGAATGATAGCAGGACCCAATATAAACACCAGATTTCTAGTTATCTCTTCTCTTTGATACATTGAGAAATCTAGACACCCCTGATTCAGTATTTCTTTATTTCCCTCAGTTCTTTTGTAGACAACTGGGAGGCTGGTTTTTCTATGTCTCAGTAATACCAGTAAGTAAAATTTTGTGCAAATTTTAGGTCACTTGATTTTCCCTTTATTAAGGCAACTTTATTTGTACCAATTTATTTTCCTTTGTTCTACAATTTTGCCATTCTTTAGTAACACTTCATGTTTGTCCTGTCTAGGATAGGAAAGAATGCTTGTCTTAGTATAAAGATAGAGAAGTTTTCCCTTCATATAGTATACCTAAATAGTAGAAATACCTATTTCTTACCTCAAATAACATGCCTCAGTTTTGGCCTGCATTTATGTCATATTGTACTTAAATGATTTGTCTATATATCCAAATAAACAAATAAAATAAAAAGATTATTAGCCCTGTAATGATATTTTAGTAGCTGATCAAATTAAAGCAAAAATAAAACAAAAAATACTTTCCTAATTACTTTACTAGAGAAGTTTCTTGACCTAAAATTCCAACAGTGAATAAGACCCTACAAAATTTCTGCCTTTATGGAATTCTTGAATTTAATGAAAAACACAGAACAAGCCAAAGCTGTCATATATGTGTTAAGAAGTTTGTTTTGGATATTCACAGACTGCAAACCTATAAGTAAACTTTTTCTTTTAAAAAAATTGCTTTTAAGGACTTTTGTACAGAGCCTTTAGTGCTTCATGCTCATTTGTGAAAAAGTTGCAAAAACAAAAAAGAGGAGGGTGCATAAAGTACCCCAAGATGATAAAATAATAATATTGCTATTATAGGAATGCATTTTGATATTAGCCTAATAATTTATATAAATATTAAAATAAGATTATTCCTTCAGAAAAAAATATGAAAGAAGAATCCAGTCTTTCTGCTGCTGATAAAGACCACCTGAAAACATTTTTCCAACTCTCATTTACTTTTCAGGTTTTACTGTGGCTCTAACATTTTACCCTAGGCTGGCCCTTTGGTTGAGCTTGGCAACCTGTAGCACAGTACACCACTGAATGATACCCAAGGCACCTCCTCAGGGCCATGATAGTGATATCAATGAGTATCACCTGCCCCTTTCTTAGAGGATTTGGTTAGATGAAATTAATTCTCAATGGGAAGTTTCTAAGTATTCACAGAATTAACTAGACAGTTTTAATATTCCCACAATAAAGTTAAGACAAAATTCTATTTCCATAAATTATAGCAAATTAAAAAGAAAAGAAACACCATTAAAGAACAAAACAAACCATGTTTAAACTGCTAATCTTTACATCTAAAACAATGCCCAATAACTCAGTCTACACAGAGGGGAAAAAGACATTTCCTAAGCACAAGCTGTATTAAGACTTAACCCATTATGCTTTTAAATATTGGAAGAAATCAAAAGATGCTTTATTTAGAACAAAGGTACCTAAAGTATTAATGTTTTTACATAAATAACTATCTTTTGTTCTTTATTTAATTGTTCTTGGCTATCTTTTACTGATAGTGATCAGTCTTAAGTGTAGAATCCTGAATTGTAACCACATTTGTCACAGAATTAATTTAAAGTGTGTACTTCCTTATAGGAGCAAAAATCCAGCAGCAATTGGCCAAAATACATAACAACGTAAAGAAACTTCAGCATCAGTTAAAAGATGTGAAGCCTACACCTGATTGTAAGTAAATGTAAATGTTACACTCTTTCTTAGGTGTTAGTATTTTCTATTTGGCATTAATGGAGTAAACTTGGTTAACACTTAGTAAGTTTACATTGGAGAACTGTAATCCAGCATTTCTGTGTGGATCCGTTAAAGTACCATCAAATCCTTACAAATTATAAGGTAGGCAGAACACAAATAGTAGTGTCATTTACAGTATTGGGAATCTATGTTATAGAAAGGTGTAAAAACAGCTAATTAAAGGGAATAAAAGATTGATTTGCTTAACCTTATCCCAGTGTTTTTCCTTCATTTGTTTTTTAAAATAATTACCTTTCAGAGGCATTTCTAATACATAAGGAAAGGTCAAACTGATTTAGGACAAATGCTGATTTTTGGGGGAAATCCCACAAATTATATCCCTACCTGTTTGCTTACTGTAACATTCATTCCTGAGAATCAAAGCAACAAAATAAAGGGCTCAGGGTGTGTGGACTTAGGAATCAGACAGGTGTTGGGTCAAACCCTTGATATTTTACTTGTTAGCTGTGTAATTTTAGGACAGTTATTTGATGGCTCTGAGCTTTCATGTCCTCAGCTCTAAAATGGAGATGATAATGATATGAGTGTATAGGGAAAAAATCTGTAATGAGAAACAATTACAATAATAAAAATTCGCTTTTGAGCAGAGCTTTCTTATGCCTTAGGCTAAGAAATGTTTTAAAAATAAAGGAACATTCCATTTTCTTTCCTAATATTTAACTCTTAGCCATATGAAAATATGACACAAAATAATTTTTCCATGTTTCTTTTACAGTTGTTGAGAAGCTCAGAGAAATGATGGAAGAAATTGAAAATGCAATTAACACTTTTAAAGAAGAGCAGAGGTTGATGTATGTTTTAAACTCATTTTAATATTTTAATATTAAATTATTGACCCTTATTTGTCAATAACTGGCCCCACTAGGTTTTTGTTTATAATGCATTCTGTTATTATGTATTTGAGTCTTACACAAAAGCAATATAATATCTCTCTTGTTTTAGAGTTTAGGTGGCTTTTCATAAAGTGCATTTTTATTCATGGTTACTATAAAATCCCAAATAAGAATTTGAAAGATTGTTTTTATCTCTGAGGCCACTAAGGCTTAGATTTATAAATGTTAATAATGTTAAGTAGAGAAGATAATATAAAGTCAGATAGCTTAAATTTGATGGAAACTGAAGGGTTAATATGGATTGTCTTCTTATTCAAGCTTTATTTTTAAAATTTTAGATATGAAGAGCTAATTAAAGAAGAGAAAACAAGTAATAATGAGTTGAGTGCCATATCAAGAAAAATTGACACATGGGCTTTGGGTAATTCAGAAACAGAGAAAGCTTTCAGAGCAATCTCAAGCAAAGTTCCTGTAGACAAAGTAACACCAAGTACTCTTCCAGAAGAGGTACTAGATTTTGAAAAATTCCTTCAGCAAACAGGAGGACGAAAAGGTGGCTGGGATGATTACGATCACCAGAACTTTGTAAAGATGAGAAACAAACATAAAGGGAAGCCAACATTTATGGAAGAAGTTCTAGAACACCTTCCTGGAAGAACACAGGATGAAGTTCAACAGCATGAGAAATGGTATCAAAAATTTCTGGCTCTAGAAGAAAGAAAAAAAGAGGTAATAATTATAATAGCTATTATTCACTCTGTGTTTCTATGTTCTAGGCACGGCACTAAACACCTAACATGTCTCGTTAACTTTGCAGCAATCTCATGAAGTATGTTTATAGTTCCCTTCCCTTCACAATCTAATAGGAGATGAAACTGAGGCATTGAAAGTTAAGTAATTTTGGCCAGGCACAGTGGCTTGCGCCTGTAATCCCAGCACTTTGGGAGGCTGAGGTGGATGGATCTCTTGAACTCAGGAGTTCGAGACTAACCTGGGCAACGTGGTGAAATGCCATCTCTACAAAAAATACAAAAAAATTAATCGGTGTGGTGGCACGCACCTGTGGTCCCAACTACTTGGGAAGCTGAGGCGGGAGGATTGCCTGAGCCCAGGAGGTTGAGGCTACAGTGAGCTGTGATGGCACCACTGCAGTCTAGCCTGAGCAAGACTTACTCTCAGAATATAAAAAATAAAAAAAGAAAGTTAAGTAATTTTAACCAATTAATAGAACTACAGTTCTATGACTTCCTCAGAGCCAAAGATGTCTCCCTTACAAATAACACAATGGGACAAAAAGCCTCTGATTATGGGTACAGTCCTCTATACCCACTTCTCAGAAATGTGAGTAATCCAGATCCACTGAGACTTTTGAAAAAAGTCATCTTACCAGGAAAGGCCACATTGTTTTAAATAGAAAAATCAACAGACAGTAGAAAAAATGCTTTGATGAGTAAACGTTTCTTTGAGATTTTTATACTTGAACCTTATTGCTTATTTTAAAGACTCAAAATGTTGGATACCCTAGGGAAAAAAAAAATGACATTTGATTGTGGCAGATACCTACAAAGGTTTATTTTTACAAAAATGTTACTCTGGCTTTGGTTTAGATCAGGATGTCTTAACCTTGACACACTATTGACATTTGGAGCTAGATAATTCTTTGTTATGGGGGCCTATTCTGTGCATTATAGGATGGCATCCCTGGTTTCTAGCATGTAGATGCTTATAATATCCCCTTGTGATTCTCAAAAATGTCTCCAGCCAGATGTACCCTGGAGGGGAAAAATGGCCCCTGGTTGAGAACCATAGTAAATCGGAGTCATATTTTTTTTTGTAAAGTTCAGCAATGATGAAGTTTGACTTACCTGGTTTAACAAAAAAGTTGTGTTTATTCCGTAGATGGCATACCTAAGGAGCATTAAAGAAATAATTAAGGCCATGCTTAGTCTAAAGTTTTAGAGGAAATAACTGCATCTTTGTTGTTGTTGTCATTCCCCCAGCCCCCTCCCCCAGAAATAAATTGAAGGTAGGGAAATTGACTTTTTGGGTTTTAAGAAAAATGTTTGAAATATTAGTCATTTGGGCATTTTTCCCCCAGGATACTGAAAACATGGGATTCTCAAAGTGGTCCCTAGACCAGCAAAATCAGCATCACCTGGGCCCTTACTTAGCAGGTTCCAACTCCAGACCTAATTAGAAGTGTGAGGGTATAGGGCCCAGCAATCTGCTTTACCAAGTCCTCTAGTTTATTCTGCTAGTGAAAACTGCCTCTTTAGGAAAAAAAAACAGACACACTGCTTCTTGTGATAAAAGTAAACCGTTCAGATTCCAGCTTATTCTTCTTCTTCCCATCTGCTCTATTTCTTGATATTTGATGACTGATACATCATCAGTTTGATAGGATATGAGCAGGATGTAGGGGCGAGATAGAAGGAGTAGTGAAAGTGGAGCCACCATTTACTGAAGCAGGGCATGATGGAGGAGAAGAGGGAAGTTTGGAGGAAAATATCAGGAGTTCAGTTTTAAATCTACGGAGTTTAAGATGTTGAGCAGGAAATTTACCATTTTTATCTCCCACTTCCTTTAATATAGCCTGTGTTTTTCATAAGTGAAGGTATTGTTCTTAAATTTTCAGACATGCTCTGAACTTTCTGACCTGAATGCCCCTGCTTATCTTGTTCTTTCTGGAACCTCCATTCTTTCTTTTCCCCTCCACTCCCAGCTTATCAAAATCGGCCCAGATCAGATGTTGCCTCCTTCTTGCCCACCCAAACATAAGTAGCCTCCCTCAAGATTTCACTAACACTTACACCTTTTATTTGATGTGTTGTGGCATGCCCATGTTTTATTTCACCTAGAACAGTGTTGCTCAGACTTGGTCCATGGACTAAATATGGGTTTGCAAACCGTTAATGTTTATAGTAGGATAAAATGATTGCACCAGAATCAACTACCCAGTGAGCACTGTTTAGTTCAATTGACTTTTTTTCCCATGGAAAACTTTCACATTGAAAGAAGCAGTGCATTGATTTGCATTTTGACACATATTGCTGATATTTTTGCAGACTGGTACTTTGAGTAGCACTGTACTAGATGGCATTTGGTATAGTTTTAACATTATTTTACTGTTCCTATCACATTGCCTTGTATATAGTATGTACACATACCATAAAGATTTATTAAATGAAACAAATGATACACCATAAGGAAAGATGAGGAAGTAGTTTCTTGACTTGGGGGGAAAGTAATTCAGTGAATATGCCCTGAATGGCAAGGAGGAGCTTGCTAGAATTTGAAATAATTTTTACATACCCATATGTACCCTCTGTAACTATCGAGCTATTTCATTTATTTATTTTTATACTTATGAAGCACTATGTGCCAGACATTAACTCATTTAATCTTCATAACAACACTATGCATGAAATACTACCTACCACTTTATAGATGAGCAAAATGAAGACAGAGAAGTTTAGTGGCTCATCTAACGCCACACCTAGTAAATAGCAAAGCCAGGATTTGGTCCCAAATAGCCTGGCTTCAGCGCTCATGTTCTTAACTACCCTACTCTTAATTCCTCTTTGGATATTTGACCAACTAAATATCACTCAGAAAGTATTCTAAGCCTAGAAAGAGAATTTGAAAGCAGAAATTAGATGATTAGAGGAAAGGGATGTTACTCATGAAAATAAAAGAAGCAGGTAGGCCTGGTGCGGTGTTTCATGCCTGTAATCCCAGCACTTTAGGAGGCCAAGGCAGGTGGATCACCTGAGGTCAGAAGTTTGAGACCAGCTTGGCCAACATGATGAAACCCCATCTCTACTAAAAATACAAACGATTAGCTGGGCATGGTGGCAGGTACCTGTAATCCCAGCTACTTGGGAGGCCTACATGGGAGAATCACTGGAACCTGGGAGGCGGAGGTTGCAGTGAGCTGAGATCGTGCCACTGCACTCCAGCCTGGGCAACAAGAGCGAAACTCCGTCTCAAAAAAAAAAAAAAAAAGCACGTAAAGAGGAGAAGGATAGTTCATGAGTTGTAGTCCTTGTGAATCTGGTGATTAAGTGAGAAAGAGAAAGGCGAAAAGGATAACCCATTATTCAGAGTTTTAAGAGACAGTAATTTTTAAGAAACAGAAGTAGAAAAAGAATTGCATTGGTTAAAAACAAAACAAAACCAAAAAACCTAAGCATGCAGCATCTTGCAATCAGTATTCTTTCTAGAAAGATGAAATTGAAGCTGTATTTCAAAATACTTTTGGTTATTAAAAAATGTTTTTCCCTTGTTTTCTTTTTTTAAAAAAATCATTTAGTCAATTCAGAGTTGGAAAACTAAAAAGCAGCAAAAAAAGGAGGAAATTTTCAAGTTAAAGGAAAAGGCAGACAACACACCTATGCTTTTTCATAACAAACAAGATAATCAAAAGCAAAAAGAAGAGCAAAGAAAGAAACAGAAATTGGCAGTTGAAGCTTGGAAAAAACAGAAAAGTATAGAAATGTCAATGAAATGTGCTTCCCAGTTAAAAGAAGAGGAAGAGAAAGAGAAAAAACATCAGAAAGAACGCCAACGCCAGTTTAAATTAAAATTACTACTAGAAAGTTACACCCAGCAGAAGAAAGAACAGGAAGAATTTTTTAGGCTTGAAAAGGAGATAAGGGAAAAGGCAGAAAAGGCAGAAAAAAGGAAAACCACTGCTGATGAAATTTCCAGGTTTCAGGAAAGAGTGAGTAGATCTTTAAAATTATTTAAAATCATTTTTAAATGCTACACATGGAGGTATTACTTCCAAATTCAGTTCAGCAAAAATTGAGTATTGTATATTGGACCTGTACATAGCATTAGTATACCAAAATGAGTAAGCCATGTTCCCTAACTTCTAGTAGGTTATAGTCTAGTGGACAGATATGTAGAAGTAGGAAATTCCAGTATAATGTGTTAAACAGTGTGGTGATTGAGGTATGGACAGAGTACTTAGGAGGAAGTACAGGGAGGATACTACCACAGCTATGAGTGGCAGAGAGAAGGTGATACTTAGGTTGAATCTTGAAGAAGGGAAGGAAAGGTAAGGTCTTTCCTAGCAGAGACAACAGCATGGATAGCAGCTTGAAGGAATATTAACAGTGTGGTTTGTGGGGGAAACAATGAACACTTCAATATTCGTAGAGCATTAAGCAAGAGAGGGGAACCAAGAGATGATGAGACTAGAAAGGTAGCCATAGGCAAGGCTCAATGGTTTGTCTTGTCTGCCAAACTGGCTAGCTTTACCATATGGATGACTCGCTTATTTGTTCATTTTCCCACCATAATGTAGGCTCCATGAGGGCATTAGTGATGTTTTTTGAGTATCCCTGTACCCTTGAGTTAGATGCATTATAGATACTTGTCTACTTAAAGGAATTGAGATTATTGCTGGGCGGTCAAATTAAAGGTGATTTTAAACAAACGTATACAAGAAAAAATACTAATAAAGATATACTGGTGGAATTCATTCCAAAAATATTAAGACAAGGAAGGAGACTTTAAAATGAAAAAGTGTGCAAATGAGATATAACTTATGAATTGTTACATGCATGAAAATATATAGCAGCAATGTTTGTAAAGCAAAAACTAAGGGAGGTACAAAGAAAAATAACAGAAACACAGACAAAACACATTAATACTGCATATTTTAGTTCATTTCTTTTAGTTCATATGTAAAAATCTTCCTAAATAACAAAAGTTCCCATTCCTCCTCATACTCCCCAAAATAAGCCAGACATGTAATAAAAGACTTAGAAAAAAATAAAATCCACAAAACAGAAAATATAAAATAAAAAAAGAGCTCTGAAATCAGACATACCTGTATTGATGAATGAAAATGGGCTTATCTCACTTATTTAAAAAGAGTTTTAGGTTGAACCTTAAAGTAAAACAAGAGACGTCGAAAATAAACTAACATAGAAAGGATGTGCATCTACTAATTCAGAGAAAATAAAGCTCTTAGCATTTGGTGGAAAGAGTTAATATTGAAGGAATATTAATAGGTAAGGTAATTTAATTTTACTTGTGAACAGCTAAATTTTGAACAAATTCTAGTTCAAGTGATTTCTTAATGCTATGGGGTTTTTTTTGTTTGTTTATTTTTAAGGATTTACATAAACTTGAATTGAAAATTCTAGATAGACAGGCAAAGGAAGATGAAAAGGCGCAAAAACAAAGAAGACTGGCAAAATTAAAAGAAAAGGTACTCTGCACTGAGATTATTTTTATTGCTATTGTCCTAATTCCTTGATTTGTCAGCATACTGACACCAAATCTAATTCCTTTATATCTCACTTTATTTCTATAACATCTGCTTTCAATTTCATACTTATTTACATATTAGCAAGTATAACTTGGTAAAATTTAAGCAACTATTATTTGAATTCTGTCACTTTACATTATGAGCACCTTTTTTTCACCCTGAAGTCTCCCTACTTGTCATTTTTTAAATTTTTTCTGTATGAACCTCTACTTTAGATCAGTAGTAGCTGTGAGCATTGCTTAATCTCTTGTGTAATACTCAGAACTAAGGATGTTGGTGATCCTCATGGATAAAACAGAAGACTTATTGGTGGTTACTTATTCTATATTTGTTGTCTGGCTATATCACAAGCATACTTAGCTGCATTACATTTCTCTCATAACAGAAATAGAAAAATAGGAGTAGAAGAACTAGAAGAAATAAACTAACAGTTTATGAGTAGATTGATGGAGTCTAAATTTTCTTTTAGCTATGTGAGCCCAATGAGAAGTTTACCGAAGAGGTTGTTAATGGTTTTATTAGCCAATATCACTTGTCTTTTAAAACTGCACTAAGGCTCTTACTCACTTACTAGTACGAACAGAGTTTGTATAATTAACTGGTACTACTTTACGTCTGATTACAGGTTGAAAACAATGTTAGCAGAGATCCCTCTAGGCTTTACAAACCTACCAAAGGTTGGGAAGAACGAACCAAAAAGATAGGACCAACAGGATCTGGGCCACTTCTACATATTCCACACAGGTAAGAAAAAGTCAGAATGGGTGTTCATTTAATAATTTAATGGCTGTATGTTTATATTTTATGCATTTACTATTTATAAATACTATTTACTATTTATAAATATATGTTTGCCTTTCAGGTCACTTTTATTTAAAAATAAACAGTTAGATAAAAGTAAAAGTAGTATTTGATGCTCTATTGTACAAGATATTACATTCATGTTAGTAGATGCCATTCTCTGCCTTTTTCATATTAATATTTATTTTAATAAGGAGAGTAATATTGAAAAAGAATGAATGAAAGATTGATAGATTAATATGTAGATTAACTGATTGGTTAATTTTGGTTGATTTTCTCAAATCAGTTTGAGAGCAAGAGACAGAAATAAAACCTTAATGAGGTTTGCAAACCTACATGACCATATGAACCAAACAAACAACATGCAGTGCAGGTTATATGTATACTTTAAAGTTAGCATTTAATCAGGTAGGGTTTTTTTTTTCTCTTTAATTTCCTATATATTTACAGCACTTTTCTCTTTTTCTCCTTAGGGCTATTCCAACCTGGAGACAAGGAATACAGAGAAGAGTATGAGATAATAAAATTGCTACTCAGTTGATAAGAATGTTAACATACTAAGTTATACCAGGGAGAGTGACTAACAATGTTCTTTAATTATAGCCTAGTCAGATTGATTATTGTGTGTATTGTGAATTGAGAGGTATTAATTGAGAGGTATTAAGAGGCTTTGTCATTAGTATTCCTGCTTCTACCAAGAAGGTATTTAATATATATTTTGGCCTATTATTGACATAAAAGTTATTTAAATAAGTTAATGTTACAAACATTATTCAATTTAAATACTCAAAACATTTCAAAGATATTTTGTTTTTGTCATAGCATAGAAAAATAAATTACAACAATCATACAATGACATTTTTAAACTAAAATTTTGTAACTTTTATAACTTGGAGTTAAGTCAGCTTGAGTAACAAAAGGTAAAGTGGTTTTTGTTTAGAGTTATGAAACGTTAGTACTTTTTCTATGTTTAACAAATTGGTAGTTTGTCAGTTACAACATTTTTGTGTAATAAATATTTTGTATTTGTTTGAAGCATGCTTTGTTTTTTATAGAGAATATTTATTTTAAAAATATGTCTCTCATATACCCTATTAATTGTATTATTGATATAATCTTTTTGGTTTCCTTTAGCAATTCCAAATTTTCCTTCAGCCTTTCTGGATTTCACCTATTTATAAAATCTTTGTGTCTTTCACATCTTCCTGGCTAATGCAGTTTTCTTTTCTGCTTCTGTTTGCCTCAAAATAGGAAAATTCTTTGTCTGAAACATCATCTGAAATAAGCCACTTTAGAATACTATGATTTTTCCTGATGGCACTTAAAATGTTTTAGGCGGGGCATGGTTGTTCATGCCTGTAATCCCAGCACTTGCAGAGGTCAATGTAGGAGAATTGAGGCTGAGAGTATGACACTGGCCTGGGCATCATAGGGAGACCTGGTCTCTCCAAAAAAAATTTTTTTTATTAACTGGGTACAGTGGCACAAACCTATAGTCCCTGCTACCTGGGAAGATGAGGTGAGAGGATCACTTGCAACCAGGATTTCCAGGTTGCAGTGAGCTAAGATGGCACCACTCCACTCCAGCCTGGGTAAGAATCTGAACCCTGTCTCTAAAATGAATGAATGAAGGAATGAATGAATAAGGTCTTTTAAAGCTCTTGCATTAACATATTTGGTCAAAATACTTAGTTCTGAAATTTCTTAACTTTTATATATGAAAACACAATGTAATTTAATACAGTTCAACTTTTCATATTATAAAATATTCCTTTCTAACTTTAATTTGTTCTCATCTTATGGGAAAGATACTATATACATAAAAACGTAGGAAATTTATTTCTTATAATTTTTATCTTAGATTATCTTTATTGTTAATGTGATACATTTAGGTTAAATGACTCAAATGTACTGTAAGTAGCAGTCAAAATCTTTTCTTATATTTAATAGAGTAGATGGCTTTCAAATTTTAGAAACTGAATTCTGATTTATATAATTATTGGTGCAAAATGAGAAAATTCACATAAAAGATCCTTAAACAGGAGTGCTGGTTTTATTTGTTACTTGTTTTCCAAAACTTTTTTGTAATGATTTGAAGTAGTTTAGAAATAAAGAGGCCGCGTGCGGTGGCTCAGGCCTCTAATGCCAGAAGTTTGGGAGGCCAAGGCAGGCGTGTCACTTGAGGTCAGGAGTTTGAGACCATCTTGGCCAACGTGGTGAAACCCATCTCTACTAAAAGTACAAAAATTAGCCTGGTGTGGTACACTTATAATCCAAACTACTCAGGAGGCTGAGGCAGGAGAATTGCTTGAACCTGGGAGGTGGAGGTTGCAGTGAGCTGAGACTGCACCACTGCACTCCAGCCTAGGCGACAGAGTGAGACTCCATCTCAAAAAAAAGAAATAAATAAATAAGATATAGAGCCAAGATGAGGAAATTTAAAAGCAGAACTGAGAAACTACAAGTTACAGAAAATGTTTTTTATGTGTTGCTTTTTTACGTGTTGCTTTTTGTTGCACGCAAATGCAGCTTTCAAATTCCTGTGTCTAAGGTAAGCATTCTGGATGATGTGATTCTTATGGCTTTGTTTTTTGATTTGTTTCCTTTTTTAAATAAAGAAAAGTATGGAAATTCCTCTAAAGAAATCAGTCTTTCTAGCTGAATCTGAAATAAATGATGAATTTATTATATAGATCCTTTATATAAAGGATGTAAGATAAATACAATTGATAATGTCTTCAGTTGCAGAGTTCATAGACATTACAGGTTCATAGACAAGATGTCAAATAAACATTTCTTATATTGGTTTAAAAAGTACATTAGCTTCTTCTCAAGAAAACACCAAATGGCAGATGACGCCATTGCGGTGGGGGGCCTGGGAGGCCTGGAGGCCCTGGGGGGCCCTGGGATGGGGAACTGGGGTTGCAGCAGTGGCCGGGGCTCGGGCAGGGTTGCGGAGCTTGTGGAGGCAAGGCCAAGGACAGGAGTGGATGCCTGTCACCAAGCTGGGCCGCCAGATCAAGGACGTGAAGATTATGTCCCTGAAGATCTCTTTACCCATCAAGGAGACTAAGATCATTGACTTTTTCCTGGAGGTCTCTCTCTAGGAAGAGGTTTTGAAGACATGCCAGTGCACAAGGTTCAAGGTGTTTGTTGCCATCTGGGACTACAATGGCCACATCGGGCTAGGTGTTAAGTGCTCCAAGGAGGTGGCCACTGCCATTCGCAGGGCCATCATCTTGGCCACCCTCTCCATTGTCCCCATGCGCAGAAGCTACTGGCGGAACAAGGTTGGCAAGCCCCACACCGTCCACCATCCCTTGCAAGGTGACAGGCTGCCATGGTTCTGTGCTGGTGTATCTTTGCCCAGGGGCACTGGCATCATCTTGGCCCCCTTGGCTAAGAAGATGCTGATGATGGCTAGTACTGGTGACTGCTACACCTCAGCCAGGGGCTGCACTGCCATCCAGGGCAACTTGCTAAGGTCACCTTTGATGCCATCTCTAAGGCCTACAGCAACCTGACCCCTGACCTCTGGAAGGAGAGTATTCACCAAGTCTCCCTATCAGCAATTCACTGACCGCCTGCTCAAGACCCACACAAGAGTCTCCATGCAGAGGACCCAGGCTCTGGCAGTGGCTACAATATAGTTTTTATACAAGAAAAAAAAGTGGAGTAAGCCTGGGGAAAAAAAAGTACATTAATAAGAAATATGGAAAAAAACAAGAAATATATAAAGTACCCATAATTCCAGGGTAACTTTTTCAAAAAACATACCTACATATTTTAAAATTATTAGTCATATAGTACATTAATTACTATGCTAAATGGCATTACACATATTTTTCTATGTTTCTACGTAACTCAAACATCATGTAATAGCTAAATAATGTTCAGTTATATATATATGTTCTATTATTCCCATTCTGTTATGCATGTGCCAAAAATCTTGTACAGCTAAAATCACTCATGGAAAGCCTTTTACTGACCTAGGAGGCATACTATATTATCTCTCAATGAGTCCCACATAGCAAATTTTTCCTCCAGATTTGGGTCAGATTACTAGTCCTTGAGCTGAGAATCAGATGAAATATTTGGCATCCCTATCTTAAGGGTCATGTTTATTAGAATTAATTTTCTGAGAATGTATAAAGTATCCATAGCTGATTCCAGTAAGTTAAACGTGTATAAGACTCCACTTTGAACACCTTCAGACATTTGGGGGTATGTGTGTTAGGTGTGAGATCTTTTTTTTTTTTTTTTGAGACGGAGTTTCACTCATGTTACCCAGACTGGAGTGCAATGGCGCGATCTCGGCTCACCGCAACCTCCGCCTCCTGGGTTCAGTCAATTCTCCTGCCTCAGCCTCCTGAGTAGCTGGGATTACAGGCACGTGCCACCATGCCCAGCTGATTTTTTGTGTTTTTAGTAGAGATGGGGTTTCACCGTGTTGACCAGGATGGTCTCGATCTCTTGACCTCGTGATCCACCCGCCTCAGCCTCCCAAAGTGCTGGGATTACAGGCTTGAGCCACCGCGCCCGGCAGGTGTGAGATCTTAATTGTAATAGTTAAAACTCCAGACTGGGCACACCTGAAGGGCCAAGGACTGTAAGCTCCATATTTGTAGGAAAGTACCCAGGACAGCCTAGTATCCATCTCTGGCTGTAAAGACATGCAGGAATACCTTTGAATAAGTAGTTACTAGTACCAAAAATTATTCAGAGCACTTCGGATTGTTGAATAAGTGTAAGATTACCCCAGCCCATAGAGCTGGTTTTTTGTTGTTGTTGTTTTGTTTTTTGTTGTTGTTTTTGTTTTTTTAAAGAAATACATTTTCTGGCCGGGCGTGGTGGTTCTCGCCTGTAATCCCAGCACTTTGGGAGGCTTAGGCGGGTGGATCACAAGGTCAAAAGATGAGACCATCCTGGCCAACACGGTGAAACCCCCGTCTCTGCTAAAAATACAAAATAAGCCAGGCGTGGTGGTGAGCGCCTGTAGTCCCAGCTACTGGGGAGGCTGAGGTAGGAGAATCGCTTGAACTTAGGAGGCGGAGGTTGCAGTGAGCTGTGATCACACCACTGCACTCCAGCCTGGCGACAGAGCGAGACTCCGTCTAAAAAAAAAAACAAAAAAAAATTACACTTTCTAGAAAAGCTAACAAAATTATACTAAAAATTCTATTAGCTAAGTTGATTACAGGAAACCTAGTTTAGTTCTATTGTTGGGTGGATTCCACCCCACCCCCACCCCCGCTACCCAGGAATGCCTCAGGAAAGTTTAAAAGGCACAGTATAACGGCTAAAGCAACTTAAATCCCTATTTTTAGAAAACAAAAACTAGAAGCATGTTTAATTTTTTTAGTATGCAGGTAATTGCAGAAGATGTTGATCTTATTTTGCTGTTGCAGATTAATGCACCATTGATTCTTGATAACACTTCCACTCAAGGAGAGTAAACTCTAGTATAGATTTGTAAAAGAATGAGGCAAGCAGTCACACATAGGTATGAATACACCTGTTGTATGTGTGTGTGGCATTATACGCATATTTGTAATTGATTCCTGGTATCCAGAGAGGATTAGGAAAGTCTCTGAACTTTTGTAGCGTCAATAAACATTTATTTCCACTGTTTTGTTTTTGCTTTTTGTTGATTTAGTTTCCCTAACCATTCAGCTTAAAACTGGCCCTCCAAAAATGAATCTGTTAGCAAGTTTATACTGATCCATCCCCGTTTTCAGATATACCATTCTCACGTTCTACAGAGCCAGAACTGTCTCAAAGCGAACTTGATGCTTCTGACCTTGCGCTTCCGAAGATAAAAATTCTGACGGAGGGATTTGTGGACTGGATTTTCACAAGGCCTGTGAGGAGTTTGCAAGCCCCGAGGGCTTTGAGTAGAAAAGGCTGGGTCATGCGCTAGCTAAGGAGATACCGGGGAGTGGAGCTGCACAAGACCCAGATGACAGCTGTTTCAAATACTGGCTTAGTCTGCGGCGGGCGCAGGTCCCCGCACCCGGGAACTCCGGATCAGCCCAGGAAGGTGGTTTCTCTCCGCCGGCCAACTGTTTCCGGGTTGCGGCGGAAGTCGCTTCCGGAGCAGCATGGCGGCCACTGAGGACGAGAAGCTAGCGGGGAGCGGTGAGGGAGAGCGGCTGGATTTCTTGCGGGATCGGCACGTACGGTTTTTCCAGCGCTGCCTC